CTCCCACATTGCCTTTATAGTTTATGAAAAGTTTAGAGCTCATCTCCTCTGAAAATATTCAAAGTCTGTCAAAGTTTGTTTTAATCTCACTTTCCCAACACAAAAATAGCTTTTAATTTTAGAAAGTTTTATAGTTAAAAGTAGAGATAGCACGAGTCCCATACACCCCAATCCAGCTTTCCCTATTAGTAACTCCTTACATTCCTGTGGTATATTTGTCCCAATTAATGAACCAGTACTAAAGCAGTAATAACTAGAAATCATACTTCATTCAGATTGCCTTAGCTTTTTTTCCCCTGATGTCCTTTTACTGTTCTAGGATCCTGTCCAGAACACCATGTTATGTTTAGTTGTTATGTTTCCTTAGTCTCCTCTTGGCTGTGACAGTTTCTCAGATATCTTAGTGCAGTTTGTGCTGCTATAAGCGTACCTGAGACTGGGTAATTTATAAAGAACAGAAATGTATTCCTTCATAGGCTGGAGGCTGGGCAGTCTAATACTAAGGCACTGGTATGGGTATGGCCCTTCTTACTGCATCCTCATATTGGGGAGGGTGGAAGGGTGTAAGACCTAAGGCCTTACTACCACTCCAAGGAGCTCCATTCTACCACTCCGAAGAGCTCGACAGCCATGAGATTCACCCAGGAAGGAACACACCGGACACGTTGGAAAGGGAACAGACCTTTATTAGTCTGGCCAGATGGCACTCCCGGAGCCAAGGAGCTCCAGAGGAGCCAGTTTAGGGGCTGAGGTCCTTTTTATAAGGGGATAGACAGGGTGGGGGTCTATACTCAAGATGCTTACAGAATGTCAAGGTTTTTAAAACATTCCTTTTGGGCAGACAAGGAGTGAAATAGTCTTTATCTATTTACCCAGAACTACTAAATGTTCACCTGTTAATTTACATTAATCACAGTTGAGACTAGGATTTAAGATTACAAAGTTATGCAGTCCCACAAGGGCAAGCCACAGACTTCTCCACTCTTGCAACCCTTCCCCCTTTCATAATGTTGTTAATCCATTCATGAGGACTCCATCCTCCTGGTTTAATACCTCCCCAAAGGTCCCATCTGTCAACACTGTTTCACTGGGGAGTAAGTCTTCAGCACACACATTTTTGGAGAACATATTCATTTGGTCTGAAGCATCAGGATTCTTTGTTTTTGGTTATCTTGATAATTTTGAAAAGTAGTGGTCAGTATTTTGTAGAATGTTCCTCCATTGGGGTATGTCTGATGTTTTTCTCATAGTTAGACTGGATTACAGGTTTGAGGAAAGAAGCTCTCAGAAGTAAGGTGCCGTACTCAGCTACTACCATGTTTAGGTTTGTGTTCATGTTGACCTTCATAGTCTGGACATGGTAGTATTTGTCAGGTTTCTGCACTGTGAAGTTTTCTTCTCCTTTTTCCATTCTGTATTCTTTGGAACAAAGTCATGTGCACAGCCCATGATAAGGAGTAGGTAGGTAGTCACACTCCACTTTTGTGAGGTTAGAGATTCTGTCTGAATTACTTGGCATTCCTCTGTATGGCACAGTTTTCTATTTTTCCTCATTTGTTTATTTCATCAATCATATTTATATTAGTTTGGACTCATGGATATGTACTTTATAATTTGGATTATAACGCAGTAGTGCCTTCCCTATTTTGTTGCTCAAATTGTTCCAGCTTTGGCTTTTAGGAAGAGCTTGTTCAGTTGACTCCTCTGTCTTTATAAGAGCCTTATAAAGCTCTTATTGTGGAGTTTTTTGAGACTGTCTTACTTTTTGACCCTTCAGGGTGTTCCAAGCTCATCTTATTATATTCTCTGTCACAGCCCTAGAATCCTTGTTTTTAATGTTATCTTGATCAACTAAATCAGCTTCATCGCCCACTGTATGGATCACTACCCAGAGTGAAAAACACTGATCCATATCTACCTATCACATTTTAAAGATAAGAAAATTATAATCTTGGAAAGTGAAATGACTTATCAAAGGCCACTCCTACTTGCTCTGGACAAGTCTCTGGACATATAGTCCCTGTGTCCTTTCTACCAAACTGTGCCATTGCAGATAGACTTGGTATATTCCTACCTCACTTAGTTCATTGTAAATCAGCAATCTGATGTGACCTTTATTGGACACACCAGGGTGTCACCTCTGTGCCCAGGCAGGTGTCAGTAGAAAGGCGAAAGAGATACTGGCTGGATTCCTTGTGGAGGCTCCATTATGAGTCTGTGTTATCCAGTCAGAATGGGCTTTTTAAAAATAGTGAACACAGTGCAAACACACAGAATGTGACTGCTGACATGAGTGCTGTTGTGAGCACTTTGGACTTGTGGTTTGACCACCTGATTGACCTGTGTTTTGTGGGGGGTGAGAGAGCCAAAGGGAGGCTTGTAGAATCCAACACACTCTGGTGGATTAACTAATGATCAACTTGGAACACCCAGCTGAACAGAGCCAGCATAGTTCTGGGTGTGGAAGACCCACTTGAGAATTGTTGCCAATGGCATAAAAGGAGAACTGGAGAGGAAGATTGAATGTTGATTTTCTTGGAGAAGCTTGCCTCAGCTGGTTTTCTGATACTAACTCAGCTGTTCTCATTGTAAGAGAAGTTTAGGTCCTTGCTGTCGCTGGGTAGGGCTGCTGTGTTCTTCAGGGGAGCTCTGATCTTCACTTGAGCTTCATTCACTCTTCACCCTGCCGGTGCAGACTTCTAGATGGTACCACTGGCCTTTGGGCCTTCCTGGTGTAGATCCTCGATATGGACTTAATGAGACATTGCCATGCACTGGAGGCCTTTGGCTGGACTCCTGAAGGACGTTGCTTTAGGATCCAGGCCCTTGGCTAGATTCTTCGGGTCTCTAGTGCATGGACAGATCTCTTGTATTCCTCTGCATTTCAGTTTTGGGGTGAATATTATAAAATAATCCTATAAATTATGTGTCCTGTATTAAATCTGTTCTCTTGCAAACTGACTACAACACACTCTTCTTTTTGGGTTCTTCTCTTTTCCTTAGAGGAATATGAATTCAAGAAAGACATGAGCTCAAGTAGCAAAGCCCTCAGATTTCACTTCTTTTTGTAAACCCCTGGGAACCACAAAAACAGAACTGAATAGACAGGTTTTTGGTGTCCTAAAAGCTTAAACAGCTTGGTATTAGGATTAGGTGTAAATGAACAGTTATGTCAAGTGTTGTAATTTCCTTTGTGAGACAGGAAATAATTTAGTCATCTATCCAAAGATTCTTAAGATTCAGGGAGTGACAGGGGACAAAATTTATTTCATATTCATTTCTCAGAATGTTCTATTTAAAAAGATTTTTTATTTAAATATTTTTAAATTTTTGAGTCGGGACAATTTGGCAGAAGAATTTTTACTGTAAAGGTTTTTACTATAAATTATCACAGTAAAATCATTTTACTATAAATTATTACTGTAAAGTTTTAAAAAGGATTATTGTAAATAAGGCAGCAGTAATGTGTTAGGATACTGATTTGTGAGCGACAGAAACTTATCCAATATTAGGACAATTTAAAAGATAATTTATTGGCTTACATTACTAAACAGTTCAAGAGTAGAGTTAGTTTCAGGTAGAGCTGGATTTAAGGGCTCAAATCATGTCCCTCAGTGCCTTGTTTCTTGTCATCTCCCAGCTCATTTTCATCCGGTTTCATTCTCAGGCATGCTTTCTCTAAGTACATTTTGGCAGCTATGGGCTTATTTCCTACATGCTGAACAACTCTGTTGGTTCTATAGATGTTTGTTGGCTCTGATTGTTCTTGCCTGGTCATGCCTGTAACCCTGAACCATTTTCTAGGACCAGGATTGTTATTGGTGAGGAATAAGTCACATATCTACTATGGAACCACAGAAAGATTGAGGTGCTGATACCGAAAGAGGGAGTTGGATAGACAGACAAAAATAATGGATGTCTGTCGAATTCTGTTGTGTTTTGAACACTCGGGCTAAATAGTCAGTGAATGAATAAATGCCAGCTTGGATGCATTCTGCATGTTTGCTTATTGAGTGCCTTACAAAGCTATTGCATTCTAAAGAGACCACCTCATCCCTCGATTAATGTTCCATCCTGCCTGTCTTAGTCTGTTCAGATTGCTATAATAAAAGACCATAAACTGAGTAGTTTATAATTAACACATTTTCATTATTTGTAGTTCTGGGGGCAGGATATCCAACAAGGCACTGGCAGATTCAGTGTCCGGTAAAAGCTTGCTTCTCATAGATGATGCCTTCTGGCTGTGTCCTCACATGGCGGATAGGGCAAGACAGCTTTCTGGGACCCGTTTTATAAGGGTATTAAATCATTTATGAGGGTGCCGCCCTTATGATCTAATTACCTCCCAAAGGCCCTACCTCCTGATACCTTGGAGTTTAGGATTTCAATCTATTAATTGAATGTAAACATGCAGGCAATAGCAGATCCTTAGCAAATGATTCTTGCTGTTCTTGTTGCTAATTTCAACTAGTCTTATCTATATGGTGGTGGTCCTTCTCTGAATCTTTAACTAGATCATAAGAAACAGTTTATGACTAGTTTTAACTGGATGGTTAGCGCAGATGCTTTGCTATTGGGAGAAAGAACATAATTTTTGATTTTCTTTTTTTCCTCCATGCCATTTACAGATCATTAGTGGTTAACTCTAACCCTTTCTCTATAAGGAGAGAAGAATTAAAAAAAAAACATTACATTAACCAATAATTCTTTGTTTCAGTAAAAGTAAATTATTTAAAAGTTTGATTATTTAAATCTTTGCTTGTTTTCCTTGTTGTTATTTGCCTTCTGCAAATTTCACTGTTAATTAGCTCCTCTGCCTGAAGGTGGGCAAAGGTAAGATTGAGGGGTGTGGCTTAAACCTTGGCCACATTACGTCTTTTTTTTTCTTTGAAGAAACTACTTACTTGGTCATGTTTTATTTATACATTATCCAGTATGCACTGTGATGGATTATCTGTGAATTTCGGTTAAAATCATCTTCCTGTGTCTTTTTACAACAGGAAGTTGAAAGTCACCTGTAAAGTCTCCTCACATTGGTAGTTACCTACAGTTCTGATGGAATCAAGTAAAAAATGAATTAATGACAGTTCAGAAGGGGGTAAGTGTTGAAATCTATTCAACAGTCTCAGAGTGCCTGTTGTTTTTATATTTCATAGCCAAACAGAAGACATTTTTAAAAAAATCTGTCTCCTTTATCACAGATAATTGAATTTGCTATACACTGATTTTTCTATTGTCTAGTCTCTGTGTTTATTTTAACCTTTACTTGAATAGTTCAGTGCTATCATTTTCTGTTACCTTTTTATTTTAATCTCCAAAGTATTTGAATCTGGGCTGTGGTCAAGATTCATAAAAATCATTTTGATTAAGTTGCTCATTCATGTATATACTATACAAGTAAAGCGCGTAGAGAGAATATGAGAATATTTTTAGAAGACTAATGAGGTGGAAAGATTTGTGTTTCATTTCCCTTAGTTTCCCTCTATTCAGACACCTGCATTTGCCATTAATTACTACTTCCATGGTGCATGCTTTCTTGCTTTCTTTGTCTGTTGTGCAGTGATTTTAAACAAATATTGGGAGGAAAGCTGAGTGCAGAGGCACATATCTGCAGTGGAATAAATAGTTTTTTTCTTTTTCTTTTTTGTAGTTCAGCAGAAGAATCTTTAGAGAGTAAGTATTTTTGTACCATTTGAAGGAAATTCTTTTCTTTTCATCTTTTCTGCAATCTTTGCCTATTCTTGGTGGTTGTCCTCTTTCAGTCACCTCATTTTTGTTTCTTAATCAAAAACTTTGAATACCATTTGTAATTCCTGCTTTGTTTTAGAAATAAAAATTGCTTTATTCAAGATCTCTTATAGTAGTAGCCTCCTGGGTCAAACCAGTACAAATGAGTTGGGTTTTTCAAGTGGCTTATAATCACCACAGCATTTTAAAAACATTTATTCACAAAAGCCATCGTAAAGGGAGCACATTCTCTTTTTGGAGCCTTAACCTATTGTTTTTATTTTAATGAAATGTTTTGAAGTATAACATGCCTGTAGAAAAATATGTAAAGCATAAATAAATGTCTGTCTATAGTTTAATGAGCTTTTCTAAGATGAATGTGTCTATGTAACCAACATGCAGATTAAGAAACAGACTATTACCAGCTGCTCAGTAGCCCCAGTCTCTATCCTTATTCTCAATGCCAGATTTTTAAGCCATCAGATTAGCTGTACTTGTTTTCATAATTTGCACAAACTGAATCATATAGACTCTTTAGATCAATGAGATTCACTCATATTTTGGTATGTGGTTATAGTTTATTCTTATTGCTGTTTATATTCCATTATTTGAATATGGCAAACTTTATCCATTCTACTATTGATTTTCATTTGTGCTTCTCCCATTTGGGGCCATTACGGATTGAGTGCTGCTGTAAATATTTTTGTATATAGCTTTTGGTGAACATACAGGTTCACTTTTATTAAGTATTTACCCAAAACAGACCATGAATCCAGGAAATAGAAACCCCATAGGACAAAGAGAACCTAGTTTAAAAATTCATTTCAACAGACCAAAGGAAGTCCAGGAGAAGAAAGTAATAGTTGAAGCATAGAAGAGTTAAGAGAGAAAAGAAGTTGGATTTTCCCCACAAAGGAACCAAACAGTGTATCTTACGTGAAAAATAAAATTGTGTTACTAAAATAAAATTACACTAAAGACAGACGGAAAAGTCACAAAATATAGGAAGAGGCCAGATTTATAAGGAAGAATACAAATAATCCAAAAGTTTTAAGTCTATCAATGATACCAGCTTTATATACAGGACACCTCTGAGCAATGTATGAATGTACACAAGATGAAGACCAAGGAAGATACCTGTTTGGTAGTTAAGAGGAGATATGAGAAAGGCAGTAGATGTTTTAGTGATTTACTCTTCACTTCTTCATAACAATGACTACATGGAATGAAGGTGGGAAATAAAGCCAGAGTGAAGAATGTGGATAAAGGATTTAAAAAAAAAAATGAACTGTAGTCTAATCTGACTGGCCTGGTTGTCTACTGGATAAAATAGTTCTACCTACTGGCTTTTGTGAAGATGTGGCAATGTCTGATAAGAACAGAAAAGGGTTAGTTAACTGGTAGCCAGTTGATATCCTTGAGGCAATCACAGAATAGTTTTCTTGAAGTCTTTATGACAATGTGGGTGGCATGCCTGAGTGAGTCAAGGATGTGGGCCTTTCTTTTCTTATAAATAGTCATTAATACCATCATAGGGACCAACCCTCATGACCCCATCATATTCTAATTATCTCCCAAAGTTTCCACTTCCAAACACCTTTAACATATGAATTTCTAGATTGTTTCCAATACTTTAAAACTGAAACAGGGTCCAAATCTTTAATTCTTTTTGTTGTTCTTGGTTTCTTTTTGAGGTGGAGCCTCACTATATTGCTCAGGTTAATCTCAAACTGGATTTAAGAGGTTTACATTGCTTTGCGTGATTTGCCTCTCCCCTTTTTCCTAATCTGTGCAAGAACATTGTCCAGGCAGCACTGAATAATACAGTTGAAATGGAAAGAGTGCTTTTTTCTTTTTGTCTGAGTATTTTCTTTGTAGCAAAAATGCCCAGGTTAAGTAGGTCTCCAGTAGATGTATTTATATGAATTCAAATCACACAAATAATTCTTGATATAAAAATAGCAATGACAGCCTTCATAATTATCTAGAACTTTTAAAACTATTTTGATTTGATGGCTTAGGTTGGTACTGAGATTTTTACATCCTTATGTAGAAAGGATTAAAAAAATAAGTCTTGGTACAGAAAATAAATAACTTCATGTCGAAAGATACAATAATTACAATGATAATCCTGAGTGCTTGACAACACATTTTTAAGTACTTAACAAAGCAGCTGGATTTATTCTGAGGTTCAGAAAGGTATTTTGACCTGAGTGACTATATATTTGGATATTATTACTTCTTTGTTTCCCATATGAAATCTGTGGTTCTTAGAGAAAGTGGAAAGTGGAATACCATGAAAAAATAATGAAGGTCTTGGATGGTGGAAAACTTTGTATGGTTTATTTGGGGCTGCTATCTTACCCAGATCCTTTCCTGAGTATGTTCAGTATCTGAGGAAGTATCTCAGACCGTTTGTCACTCGTCATGTTGATAATCATGAAGATTATTTTCTTCACAAGCTTCATTTCACATTTTGTAGCAAAAGTATCCTGGGACACACATGCTGTAACCTTCTGGGATATGTCATTGAACTTTTAATGGAGTGTCACATGGCACTAACCATGTTTTAAAATGGAGTCTCAGTTGTGCCTTGTTCTAAAGTGACGTGGAGTTTTTCATTCATTCATTCATTCATTCATTCAGCATTTATCTAACTCTACTGTGCTGGGACCCAAAATCTGCAGCTTCTGTTTAAAGTGAGCTTCTGGGGCTAGAGGTGTATCTCAGTGTTATAATATCTGCTTAGCATATGTGAAGCCCTAGATTCATCCCCCAGCACCCTAACACAAATAAATCAGATGAATTTTTTTTTTCTTGGCTATGAGCTACTTAATCAGTGATGCTTATGTGTCTAATTTTTTTTCCTGATAATCTACTTGGTTTTCATATTGAGAATAATGACAAGCACTCAATTAATAAATGTTTATTTAAAAGGAATATCGAATAGTTCAGCAGACATGCACTACTTTAATTAGAGACATTTTAGCCCAATTTCTGAGTAACTTCCTACAGGAATGGGAAATTAGAACCTATTGGTATAATTTTCTATAAAAGATATTCCAGGGAAAAGTTGCTTAGTTTAGAAAAATAGGCAAAGTCCCTGGCAGAGCTGACAAATGGTTGGATATCAAGAAATGAGCCGTAGATTGTTGCCAGTGTAATTATAGTGGTGAAGCAAAACTGCTTCAGTGAAAGTTTTAATATTTTCATCTTTTTAGGTAGTATGATGTTTGAGAAAGATCAGAGTTGTTTTAGGTGAGGTGTGTGTGTGTGTGTGTGTGTGTGTGTGTGTGTGTGTGTGTGTGTGTGTGTTTGTTTGTGGTGGGGAAGGGATGGTAAGGAATTGGGTAAGAAATGTTTTAAACCTAGGAACCCTGATTGTGCTCTTGTTTATAGATTCAGCTAATGGTTTGTATGTTGTTAATCATCATAGTGTTAATGTAATAAACAGAGTTAAGAATGTTGTTGCCTATGAATATGTATGGACCTGGCATGAATTGCATTGAACTAGGTGAAAGGGTTGGGGTCCTGGTTTCCTGAGGAAGCTCATCTAAGGGGCTTTCCTTTTTCGTTGAAGCAACATCTCAGTGTTCATCCAAATTCAGTTTATTCTTCAACGATATTAAAAATAATTTCTTAGAAGTTTGTGATGAGACCAAACCTCCTGAAGTTTCTGAGGTTTTAGTCTGTTGCAGTGCACTGTACTGAGAGTATCACGAGACCTAGATAACCAGGTATCTGATTAGTGGTTGTGTGACATGGGGAAAAATCTTAAGCTTTGTGGACCTCAAATTTCATTCTTAAAATTAAAAATTGGCATACTTAAGGTTTGCTTAGCTTCTTACTCACAGTACATATTAGCCTTACTGAATTTTACATGTCATCCCAGTTTCTGGGTGGGAAAAATGCCTCCTGAGCTTTGTGTTCAAAGGCTTTCCTCAAGTCCCAGTTCCCTTTTCTAAGCCTAAAAGAATGCCCCCCCCCGTCCTTCCTTCTAGTTATTTGGTGATATAGATATAATCCAGTAAATAGTATCCCTAAGAAGTTTTGTTATCAACAGTACTAAAGCTCTCCATAGTCTCATTTATGCTCAGTAAAATAATTCCTTTTTATTTAAAAAAATGAAAACATTTGCAGTTTCACTGGAAGTGTTTATTCATTCAAGCTGAATGATGTACTGTAGTGTTGTGTCTGATTCTGGAGAGCTTTTGTAGCAGGTTTATATCTAAAGTGTTTCTCCCTGTTTATTTGTGTTTTGTTTAGACTAAAATTAATGGAGAGTTTTGTTGCAGACAGTGAAGATCATTAATACAGGTTTCTTCCCTGTGGTGTTTTTTATAAGGCCTTACAAGGAAGAAAAAAGCAAAAGATTAACTTCTTTTTAAGATCAAGGATTTCGTCTTTACCAGTAATCAGGGGAACTTGGGGAAGAAAACAAAAGACAGGACACCTTCTGTGCATGTGCATGTCTATGTGTGTTTGCAATAGTAAAATTTAAGTCATGAATGCTTATAGTCTCTCACTTTTGTAAACCAGATTTCTTTCCAGCTCTAAAAGTTTTTATTTTTTATAACAGCATTCATAGTCTTGAGCTTAGTGCTTGTGTGTGTGTGTGTGTGTGTGTGTGTGTGTGTGTGTGTGTGTGTGTTT